CCTTACAATCTGCAATTTTCCAGAAACATCTGATTTTGCCCTAGTTTGGCAAGGTTTAACCCCTTACAAATTTTGATTTTTCATACAAATCTGATTTTGCCCAATTTTGCTAAAATGCAAAGTTAACCCTTACAATCTGAAATTTTCCATAAATACCTGATTTTGCCCAATTTTGCTAAAAAATGCCAAGGTTAACCACTGACAATTTGAAATTTTTCATAAACATTTAAATTTTCCCAATTTTACTAAAAATGCAAGGTGAACCCCTTACAATCTGACATTTTTCATAAACACCCGATTTTGCCCTATTTTGCTAAAAAATGCAAGGTTCACCCCTTACAATTTGAGATTTTTCATAAACATTTAATTTGCCCAATTTCGCTAAAAATACAAGGTTCACCCCTACAATTTGAGATTTTTCATATAAATCTGATATTGCCCAGTCATGCTAAAAATGCCAAGTTAACCCCTTGCAATCTGCAATTTTCAAGAAACAGCTGATTTTTCCCAATTTCGCTTAAAAAAGCAAGGATAACCCCTTTCAGTCTGCAATTTTCCAGAAACATCTGATTTTGTCCTAATTTGGCAATGTTTGATTTTCCATACAAATCTGATTTTGCCTAATTTTGCTAAAAATGCAAAGTTAACCCCTTACCATCTGAAATTTTCCATAAACATCTGATTTTGCCCTATTTTGCTAAAAAAATGCAAGGTTAACCACTGACAATTTGAAATGTTTCATAAACATTTAAAGTTTCCCAATTTTACTAAAAAAGAAAGGTTAAACCCCTTACAATTTGAAATTTTTCATACACATCTTATTTTGCCAAATTTTACTACAAAAGCAGGGTTAACCCCTTTCAATCTGAAATTTTCCAGAAAGATCTGATTTTGCCCAATTTCGCTAAAAAAATGCAAGGTTCACCCCTTACAATTTGAAATGTTTCATAAACATCTAAATTTTACTAAAAATGTAAGGTTAACCCCTTGCAAACTGTTAAATCAATACATGAAGTGTCCCATTTAACTTTTTTAAAGCAAATTATTTTTTCCAGTTTTTAGGGTAAAGGAATTTTCTCTTTTTTCCTTTCTCTTTTGTTGTTGCTATATTTTGCGAATTAACTCATTCGTATAGAATGCTCATAGTCAATCAAAGAATATTTCACACATAGGGGCCTAAATTATATTTTTTGAAATTAAATAGAGACACATTGATCGTGCTATCATATACCATTCTATTACTATTGCGAATTACTGTATTGTTTGGAATGCTCACAATTAAAGACACGTTATTTGAAAGATGTATAAATAATATTTATATTACAATGTACATCTTTATTCTTTCCCGGTATAATTTATGGCGTTTCTTACGTCAATTGGCAATCGCGTCATTATATAATGATAGTCAAATTGATCAAACGAAACTCCGTTTTGATTATAGTCAATTATGAAATATTCATTGATTTATGACATACACCTTTGTTTCAATTTTGATACTACCCGTAGACCTGCCGAGCAGCTGTAGATATCAAACTAAACCAAAGTATAAAAGATAGAGGGTAAAAAAATCAAAAAGTTATGTGCTAGTCAAGCTTTCAGGGATCGGTCTGAGCCATAACAATGCCCCAGCCGATCCCTTAGTTCTCTTCCGGGGTCTCGGCGTCCCCGACCAATACACACTTCCTTCCCTATCCATCCATATAACCCCGGAGGGCCAGGCACCATGTAAAAGCAAAGAGCTAAGGGAGGAACAGGGCGGCCCCTAAGCCTGATCCTCCCGAGTGGACCACATGCCCTGAACCTGTACGAAGGCGCCAACCTGGAACTCGCGGACAGTACCAGCAGCAGTGCTTACCGATTAAGCTAAGGTACTGTTGGTACTTTACGACGGGAAACTAAAATCTCTTATAGTGAATAATTGAACTCATACGTTAAAAAACCAAAAAGACACCAGCGGGATTCGAACCAAGGACCCCGCTAACTGTGGATGACGAATCGTAACCACTTGGCCATTTCGTTACCTTAGAATTTTCCTTAAACTGAGAAAAGTTGTCTTTATAGATGGCAAACGCGCCAGGAGGATTACTGGGTCCATTTGCTTTACCTTAATAGGTAAAAACAAGTCGATATAATGAGCCCAGTGTGTTTGGTTTGTTAGGAAGCTGCATAACTCAGCCTAATGTGCAAAACAGTCGTGTGCTAGGCGGATCATTACGGAACAATGAACACCGCAATTGTGTATTTTCAAAAGGCAGACGCGTAATGTGCAAAACAGTCGTGTGCTAGGCGGATCATTACGCAACAATGAACACCGCAATTGTGTATTTTCAAAAGGCAGACGCGTAGATTTCTACTCTTTGTATCTGGGCATAATAGATTCTCACCTCCCTCTTCAGCTATTTCGACTTTCTTAAACAGAAAAATATAGACTGTCAGCGAATATACGGGAGTTGAAATAAGGATCGTCCCCTCGATAGACCTAAGACTCAGTAAAGTTCAACATTGGGCTCAGGCGCGGTTCTAGAACCAATATTTTTTTTGAGGGGGGGGGGCTAGCAGGGTGGATCCAGAATTTTTTCAGGGAGGCGTGCTAAAATGTAATAAGACCGGTTATTTTCTCCAGACACTTAGGCCTCCGAAAATCAATAGGTGGGGGGGGGGGGGGGGGGGTGGGGGTGGAATGCCATGCCTATTTTCAATGGGGAGCGCCAATAAAATCCTAAAATCATTCACACTATATTAACTACAAATGCACCCTCGTCATGACTATTTCTTTAGGGGGAGACCGTTTGCATGTACATCACAATCCTTTTTGCTTTTGCAATTTCTTTTTACGGAATTTTTTTGGGGGGGGGGGCTAGACAAAAAATTTTTTGGGGGGGGGGGCTAAAGCCACCCCCCCCCAGCCCCCCCCCCCCCCCGTAGAACCGCGCCTGATTGGGCTCTTTTTCAACAGCTGTTTTGCGGAAACTTTACATCTGGATTTTTTTGAAGCATCTGATTTTGCCCAATTTTAGTAAAATATGCTCCAAATTTTGCTAAAAAAGCAAGATTAACCCAAGGTTAACCCTTACAATATGAATTTTTTTCATGAACATCTAATTTTTCCCAATCTTATATATATGGAACATCGCACATAAATGTAAAAGATATTGAACATCCAACATATACATTGCAAAATATTGAATATTGCAACGTTTGACACGCCATACTATAGTGAAGGTTTGCGGTATAACACCATGCATATGGAAATTTTGGGAAGATGTGTGGTCAGTTCTGAAAAGAACCGGTTCGGTTGTAAAACTCGACGTTCCGATCAGTATGCTCTGATCGTCTTCAGGAGGTGGCCAGACTGGTGGGATGGGGCTGCAATTTATGGAGTTGGGTGATCGTTTCCTGACGATCAGAGCATACTGATTGGAACGTTGAGTCTTACAACCAACCGCTTCTTTTCAGAACCACACATCTTCACAAAAGAGATGTCCATATGGTGTTACCACAAACCTCCACTAATATAGCCCTATATAGGCGTAAATTTTTACGTTTAATGTGAGTTGTTAGCACGCCTGGGGCACGCTCGTGGTAATTCCTTTCTCATGAGAGCCGATTTTCCTCCGAGTCCTCAATGCCCCAGCTTATTATTTTTTTCAACATTATGCGTAAAGTGATATTGAAAGCGGCCGGTCTATTCAGTTTTCGGGTAGGAAAGACTTTTTTCCTGGGGAGGCCGGGGCGTCAACGTCAATCCCCGATGAAAAAACTTGGTCCGATAGTATTGTCTGTATGTATTTTATGATTAGCCACTTCACAGCTATAGGTGACACTTTCACTTGCTGGTTGTATATGAGGCGGGTGATGGAAGAACATAGACCAGGCTGACCTCCCCAAAGCAGCAAAAGCGCTGCGAAATTTGCGCATAGGCAAGTCGACCTAACTTAATTTAGGCGTGAAGTCGAAGGCAAGGGAACATCCCTCAAAATGGCCAGAACCATAATGTTTTACTTCGGTGACATCCACTTTCTGAGCAGGCATCGGCACTCCCCTTAATTCGATCTACGGTGCCAATTTGCGCGAATGAGCGTGGTGTCACCTCAAACCGGCTTCTGTTCAGCGAGTTCCAGAATCATCGGATCCAAACGAACACGGGCCTATCTGAAGAAAATTTGCCGTCACAAGAAAAAAAGGTTGAATATTTCTTTGCTGATGATTATTGCAAATTCTGTATGGGCTTCCAGAGGCCTACCCTTTTGCCCACTCCAGTGCCCTTTTTGCCTGTTTGTGATGAAATAAGCGAATTAAGAACGCTACAAGCATAAGGCTCTATATGATCGTCTTCTTTCCGGATTGAATAGAACGAAAACTGTATCGACGGGCAGGCAATAATAACTCCGGGGGGGGGGGGGTGGAGCCGGGAAAGGGGTTCGTAGCCAAGGAAGGCCTGATCTATATTGCTCCGCCATCACAGTTATTATGTGATTGAGTGTTCACACGAACGTGACACAAGGGCAGATCTAGAACACCTTTGGGGGGGGGGGGGGGGCTGGGGGTTCCAAAACTACGGCGTGGGGTTCGGGGCCCGTTCTAGATGCTCTGTGGTGCGCTCGATCTGAGGCAAATCTGACCACTTTAATTATTAAGGACAAGATGGTGGTGTACGCAGTGTCTGCCTTTATTTATTGCGACGTCACTTAAACAAACAAATAAATTGAGTTCGCTTTTTTTTGGAAGGAGGGGGGGGGGGGAGGGGGAGAGAGAGAGCATGCCCCCCCCCCCCTTGCCCATCCTCCCCCTCCGCCCCGAGTGACGTGATAGCTTGGCGGGTTGGGAGCTAGGGGCATGGATATTCTAATGTTCATGAAACGGACCAAGTATAGACAACTACATGGATCAGGACTGTTCATTCAAGAAGGCAATACCAAAAAAAATAATACTTTAATCCGTCCTTTGTATATTTGTGGAAAGTGGAATTATTACAGAAATAAAATGCGTTTATGGGAAATGTGCATTTTGTCTCTATAAACAGCGCCCTCAAGTGGCAGACACTAAACCAGTCTTTTTGATCCAACATGTCGAAGAGAGGTGAGTGATTTCGAACAGTCTTCGTTTTAAATCGACCAGCATCGGCCTGCAGTGATTGTAAATTCAACCAATCGTTGTATTAAATTAAACATGTTTACTCTGCGTTGCTGTAGATGTGTCATATATGTTATTTATTGTGCCAGGAATTCATGAATTTACGGTTATAAAAAAGGTCCGTTCTTTCTGCAACATCTAGGCTCACTTTACGTACAAATGTACGCCATTATTTATACACTGTGTAATGATGTGGACGGTCCTACTAAACTGCGTCAACAAGCGTCAGCAAGCGTTAACGGTCGTCAACAAGCATCAACAAATTTCGTATATGCTTTTGAACATTAAAAGTAGCTTTAGCAATAAAGAACATCTTCTGCATAATCACAGTTAAAGTTAAAAATTATTTTAAAAGTTGTTTTTTTGAACGCGAAATGTACGACGAATTTGTCGATTAGTGTTGGCCGCCATCTTGTTTGGATGGTGCTGTACACTTCGCGCATTTGTGGTACGGCTAGCTTCACGTAAACAAAATGGCGGCCAACACTAATCGACAAATTCATCGTACATTTCGCGTTCAAAAAGACAACAAAATAATTTTCTTTAAGTGATATGCAGAAGATGTTCTTTATTGCTTTTTCTACCATATAAAGCTACTTTTAATGTTCAAAAGCATATTCAAAATTTGTTGATGCTTGTTGACGACCGTTGGCGCATGTTGACGCTTGTTGACGCAGTTTAGTAGGACCCGTATGGAACGATTATTCTCAATATAGGCATACTGCAGGAGAGAATTCCATACATGGACATCACTTGACACCCTATGCACAAACCCTATACTACAGTACAGACTGGTCTGAAAAATTATGTTTTCTCAGTAAAGACAGTAACCCCCTAGCCCAGGCCTAAATGCTTCAATATTTCCATGCTAAATTTGACTTTTATTAGTTTAATTTTAGGGCATGGTATCGCTTTCTGATGGCTGATGGGTCACTAGCTGCAGGGAAGAATTAGTGATGTCCATGTATGAAATTCTTCCCACACTGCATAGGCCTACCTGCATGACCTGACTGTTAATTATGTTATGATGGGAATAGATGAATTGTTTTTAAATTTAACACATGCTATTTGAGTTCAACCCGAAAAATAGATTGTTTTAATGTTATTGCTATTTCTTGCAACAATTCCCCCCCCCCCACAGTAATAAATTTTGCACAGGGTAGAAGGGTTCCCACTTGTTTCAGGCTCAGTGGTATTTGTGTGACTTAGATGCCATTCTTCCAGTAAATGTCACAAGGAAAGGTGTGCTATTGCTAACTTTTCTTGTTCTTTTTTGATTTTCAGGACGTGGAGGTTCGGCTGGTTCCAAGTTCCGTATCTCCCTGGGTCTCCCAGTGGGAGCGGTCATCAACTGCGCTGACAACACAGGTCAGTACCGCTCCGCTAAGATGGTGGTTTTCTTATTTCAATGTGTCCATTTCCCAGGAGGAATGTAGTACCATTGTGACATGTGACATCATTTTGGCAATTGTAGGCCTATACAAAGCCTATTGGGTGTTATAAAAATCTGTCGAATTGGAAATGTTCTTAATCCCATATTAATTGATGTTTTGCATCATATCTGGATTGACTGACAATCGCTAAGGTGTTGCACGGTGAAAAAGTGCTCTGCGGATATTGCATTCTAGCCATTTTCCTGTTAGAGATGGGAGTCGATGTAGTTACATAAAATAAAAGTTACATGCACAACTGAGATTTTTCCTTGAAATTGGGCCGAATAACAAAAATTTTGCATGCGCAGGCAAAATTTTACAGAGCCAAAGTTACCTGCATCTGTGCATGTAAAACCCCTCTAAATCGACCCCTAGTAATGACCAGTTAAGTTAAAATCACTGGAAGAGAGCCACAGGGTCGTCCCGAATATTCAAATATTCGATCGTCAACAGAATATTCGAATAGCCTTTTGCTAGTTGGAATATTCCAAAACTAAAAAAACTACATGCATACACACACGACTGTGATGTTATTTTACCGTAAAGTTTAGCACTGTATTGTCAGGTGCCAGTTTTTAGTCAGTTCATTGTTCCCATCCTTTGAGCAGGTTAAAGCCCTTGAAAGTTATAGAATACTTAGTGCAAAACTCTCCAGCAGACCATATGATCACCGCATGCACTGACGCGCTCTGTGTGCAACTTTTGGCCAGCGTGACGCGCAGTTCCAGGTGGCATTTTCGAATATCTGAAAATTTGGGCAAACGCACTTTTCAAGTAATCGAATACTAAATTATTCAAAACTGGACAACCCTAAGAATTTTTTTTTGACTTTGGAGGGGATTTAATGGATATCAACTGGGAATTGCTGCACATATGTGACCTGTTCTGTCAAAAGCAGACGCTTCTGGGCAGAGGTTGAAATTGAGATAGGGCCAAAAAACGCTGTGGGGGTGATTTTTATCGATTTTCAAATTTTTGCATATTTGTAATCCTGAACATGTCTAAAATATATTATAAAAGTTTGAAACCCTAATTTGAACTCTACATATACTATATTTGATGATTTTGATAAGGTATATCAGTTAAAGAAATAACTGTTTTGTGACGTTCGTGGCCATTTTCTCCATTTTCTACTTTTCGACACAATGAACTTCAAAATAGCATAACTCTGCCCAGGAATGACCGGTTTCAAAAATTAAACCACCTATTAAAAGAAAAAAGAACATATGTTAACAATATGTAAAAATATCATTTTCGACCTTATGCCCAGAAAAGTCTGATTGTGACAGAACAGGTCACATATGGTGTGTGGAACGGTTTTGCTACCATATTTGCAAAGAATTTTAGGAAAAGATATTGCAACCTGACGCCACTTCAGCGGTTGTGTACAAAGTCTATGGAGAGTCAAGTATTTCCTCACAAAATTGGAAATGTTTCTCAGTCCCAGATTCATTTGTTATCATTTTTGCAATGAATGACCTTCATTGAGATGATTTATGAAGAAAAAAGTGGCGCAGGTTGCAACATTTTTCCGAATTTTAATCATAAATATCTTAGTGAAAATTTTCTATTTTTTATTTTGCCATGCAGGTGGTAAGAACCTGTTTGTGATTGCCGTCAAGGGAGTGAAGGGACGTCTGAACAGGCTACCGGCAGCTGGATGCGGTGACCTGTTTGTCTCGACCGTCAAGAAGGGAAAGCCAGAACTCCGCAAGAAGGGTAAGTGAAAAAGAAGTACCGTCCAGAGCTGGTATTCCCATCATCAGCCATTAAGGCTAACTCGCTAGGCAATTTTGCTAGGATGCAACCTCAATCCTGCAAAATCCTGCAACTGCCTTGATGTAAAAATTGCATACAACCTCAATCCTCCAAAATCATTATTTCTTGAATGTGGTCCTTGGAGGGGTGACCACCGCCTCAATCCTGCACAATCCTCCAGCAATCACTGTCAATATGTTGAGGCAGAACCAGTGACATCCTGGAGCAGTGCGGAGGATTTCAAGTATAATCTAGGCCTAAATTCATGCACGGCTGAGCATAAACAACACAAGGTCCGGGCCAAGACCTTGACGCAGTGCATCCTCCAAAATCAGCCACACGTTTTTGCCATATAGCCTCAATCCTGCAAAATGCTTCAATTTGCAAAGAGGATTTTGGAGGATTTGGGAAGGTTAGGGTTAATATGAAAGACCCAAGGCCTCTGTCAGTTCAGTTTGAAAAAATTCTGAAACACTGGTTATTTAAAAAATTGACACATTTTAAGCCTGAATTGGTCAATCAAATGACATCTGCTAAGTGTGAATCACATGGCAATGTATTTAGTCTTGTATAATTCAAATTTGAGCCTGCAGGTGTTTTAACCCTAATTGTCCCAGATTCTGTACATAAACGCACAAGTTTTTTTTTTTTTGAAGTATTTTGCAGGATTTGGAGTAGTACATAGAATGGATCATCACTTTCTGCAGAGTATAAGACATTGAAAATTTTGGAAGGTTCCTAGCCAAAAAAAAGCCAAGAGATTTTTGTTACACTTCTTTTTGCAGTCATTCCGGCCGTGGTCATCAGGCAGAGAAAACCGTTCAGGAGACGCGATGGAGTGGTGTTGTACTTTGAAGACAACGCGGGGGTCATCGTCAACGTCAAAGGAGAAATGAAAGGTGGGTTTTACATTTTCTCAATTTATTTTCCAGAGCTACAACTTATTTATTGAATAAAGATTTCATATTGTTATCTACTAGATCTTTTGTTGCGTGTGAAATGAACAAAAACATTGATAAGTTGGCTGCATGTTGTGTGTGACATTAATTTATTTTCAGAAAGTTATACAGTGTGTACGTATTTTTTTTTTTTACCTACCGTACGGAAAGTCAACAGACCATTTTATACAATCCACTCTCAAAGTATGGGTAATAATAACAATGCATATTGAAGAGAAGAGAAAGGGGTACCATGCATTTAAAGGTATAGTCCATCATTTGTAATTTGGGCATTTTGTTCGTTTGAAGCAACAAAAGTGCTCAAAATCTACAGAAGGGTGCTGAACAACTAAACTGATGAAGTTTCAGCTCAGCTTCAGCTGTATATTTCGAGAAAAACAACATTCTAGGATCTCGATTTCAAATCAAAAGTTGCTGAATCATGTTTTGAATTGGGCCTGAATTCAGCGTCCCAGACATGCTCTTACTGAGCCGATTGCAGCTACGCAATGTCGCGCACCGATCTGTCGAATTATAGCAAGTGCGTGTGCGTCGTGTCAACGCTTGCACGCGTTTCGTCGAATAACAAAATGAACCACTAACGGAAATTTCCAACGGTGCGTCTTAAGACGCACCGTTGAAAATGCCTTCTTTCGTTGATTTCTTCAAAATGACAGCTTGCCAGAAAGAATAATTTCACAGGGAGTTTAGTCCCCTTACTATCTTTCAACCAAGTATGTTTTTCAACAATAATAATTTAGCCAGTTACTTTTTGGATAGCTGCAAATGATGGACTCTGGCTTTAAGCTAAAATATGGTCCCTGAACATGAACACAAACAATCTGGAAATATGTCCGAAGAAAAATCACAAAATTTGGAGCACTTTTGCTTTCATTTTGTTCGGCTTGGTCCATGTACAGTGGCCATCCCCCAACCCGGTCACTACCACGCAGAGAAGGCCTGGTCCTCACACTGTTATTTCCTTATTGAAATAACAAAACCAGTGAGAGGGCACTGTGCAAGTACAGTCCATGCTCGTTAGTACAAACTCTGTTAATACAAAATTCTGGTTACAACAAACATAAAGCCTTGGTCCCGACTGTGCATTTATGTGCACAATGAATGGGACTGATGTTCCTCTTAATACAAAATTCTGATATAACAAACAATTTCGCTAGGTCCGAACGAGTTTGTTATAACGAGACTTGTCTGTAGTCTAGTTCACCCTCTGTAATAACGCAAATGTTCTCCCTTGTTGAAATCGTTTGAGCAGTTCATAATTGATTTTTTTTTTTGCGGTCGTCTTTTCCTCCCTTGCCCAGGCTCTGCCATCACCGGACCAGTAGCCAAGGAATGCGCTGACCTGTGGCCCCGAATTGCCAGCAACGCCGGAAGCATAGCCTGATGACTGGACCCACGAAGACAAAAATGTTTATAGTCCAATAATACGCTGGCAGTGAGATGTAGTAAAATAAAACCAGATTTCTTTAAAAAGCTTACTGGAAATAGTTGTCGTGATTTCAGTTATTTCAGTTTGAGTCAGTCTTTATGAATTTTTTTTTTTTAAATTCAGAATTACTGCTTAAAAAAATTGTTCAACTGCTTCTGTGAATGAAGTCGGAGAAATTCAAATTGGACTTGGAAAAGCACATTTCCTGTAAAGTTAATGTTAAAAGAAACTTTTGCCCTTGTCTTCTCTTGAAGATACTGAAATTGCCTGCCAAATAACGCCTGAAGTGTCATGGCATTTCACATTTACTTGGTACTGCTTTAAAATGCTTCCAAATTGATCTGAAAAACTAGGGTAATAAAACTGGGTAGGCTTCGAACCTTACTCCAACAGTAGCCTTGGTCAAGGCGCTAGTTGTTATTCACCCGGCCGTAGCGTGGTAAACGATATCTTCGCTAGCGCTATGCATGCAGTCATATGTCTATGCATACAGTGCATTAAAAAAACAGCGTGAACAGCGACCTCACGTGGCCACTATTTTTTATGCAAATCAGTTGGACCCGATCTAGCGCCTTGGTTCAATCGTCCATGTGAGGTTTTGGGGGTGGTGCTCATTATGTTAATAGCCTTAGCTGACCTTAAATGTCGTTTTCTTATTGGTCAATCATTGCGTGGAAACTTGAATAGTGAAACGTGGCACCGTACACAATCCATACACGTACACATTGTGTGTCTCTGCACACGGCACCAATGCACAAAAACTGTGGTTCCTGTCACGTCCGCAAAAGGCGGAATAGCTGCAAATAATTTGATGACGTCCGGATTTACCAAGGTGTGATTCGACACTCCACATATTAGCCCCGCCTACATTATCTGTATTCGCATACGAGGTCTTGCGCTGGAAATCTAGCGCAAAGTAAAGAAAAACATAAGCTTTTGCCGACGATTGAACCAAGGCTCTCGATCGTTGGTTGGTTCCCTCTTTGACATATAGCGCTACGTATGGAAGGGTAGGCCCTTGGAACCCACATCAAAGTCTCCCTAATTTTAAACTGACAATATTAGCATCTCTGCAAGGGCGTTTTCCTCAACTTTGTGTGACCTTTTTTACAAATACAAAACCACAGACTAGACGCCAATACGCAAGTGGGCTACATTCATGTTGTTTATTCTGTACATGGTAATCACAATTAAAACTTTACAAATCCATAAAATTACAGGAATTTAAATAGTTCTATATACAAGTCAATGAAACCCTACAATCTCATAATGCATCTCTTATCCGTAGGTAAACATAGTTTCATCATGCCCTGAATGCATGTTCACAAACCCCTTTACCGCAGAAAAATAGAGCAATATGCAAATTGTACCCTCATTAAAAAACATATATGCCGATTTAAATCCTAAACTTGAAGTTTGTGACCATGTGTTTTAACGAGGGATTTTTAATACCTTTAGGGAGAATTTGAAGAAAATATTAAGACATAGGTGATGTTCTATTGGGGAAATCGGATAAGAAGTTTTAATACTTTGTGAATTCTCACAAAATTTAAAGCAATTTTCTTGGTGGAAATGGCTCATGTAGAACTACAAATGAAGTTCTGGGGCAAATATTATGGAGCTACATGTACATTAAAGCAGAAAACTTGGGGGGGGGGGAACCCTCGGAACCAGGCCAGTAGCAATATATGCCACACATTCAGTATGTTTGCCATTTTAAGTAAATTTTTCTGTCTCTTGCAAGTTTTTGCCTTTGTAGCTCCATTAAATTTGACTCTTCTTCAAGCGGCATTACTGGGGTATAATTTGCAGGGATTACAAAAGGGGCCTCAATTTCTCAAGGAAGGGCCTCATCAATGGAGCACACGCCTGGGGGGAGGGGGAGGCAATGGTCCCCTTCCTTTAGTTACGCCACTGCCTTGTTCACAGCTCAAAAGCACTTTCCTGGTATCACAAATAGTCCATGAAATCCATGGCAATGCATCTCAATCCTTGAACTGTTTCTTCTTGATCTCTTTCTCAATGTCCTTCATTCCGTCTCTGAGTTCTCTGGCAAAGTTCCTAGTGAAAGACGAGGCAATCCTGGTTCCCTTCTGACTCTGCTGTCTGCTCTCTTCGGCCATCTTCTTCAGAGTCTCCGACTCGGATGCCTTCTCAATGGCTTCATGACCTGAATTCAAATGTCAAGCTTATTATACCATCACTCAAACTGCAACAAACTTTCTGAAGATACTATGATTAAAAGAGAGGAACCCCTACCCCCTTCCAAGTAAAGTCCAGCACCTCTGAAACGATGCCCTCTCTTTGAACTCGTGATTTGACAATCTTTCAAAAAACTTTCCTACCTTCCTTAATACTTCTTCCCTAACTTCAAAACATTGCAAGTTTACTGTAAATGAAAAGATCATGTTTAAATAAAACAAGCAGGCATTCCACTTTTCCTCGAATTAGCCGATTTCCTCATTTTTAAATTTCACAAATGATATTAAAGCTATAGTCCATCATTTGTAGCCATCCGAAAAGTAACTGGCGTAATTATTGTTGAAAATTTAAATGAGTAGTTCATTTTGTTATTCGGCGCAGCGCGCGCAAGCATTGGCACGACGCACACCCACGCGTGGTCGCTATAATTCGTCGGATCAGTGCGCGACGTCGCGTATAGCTGCAATTCAAAACAATTCAAAACATGATTCAGTACCTTTTGATTTGAAATTGAGATCCTAGAATGCTGTTTTTCTCGGAATAAACAGCTGAAGCTTAGCTGAAACTTCATCAGGTTAGTTGTTCAGCATCCTTCATTAGATTTTGAACACTTTTGTTGCTTCAATCGAACAAAATGCACAAATTACAAAGGATGGACTATATCTTTAAAACCTGAACAAACTGTATAAAGTCTTTCAAAGCTAGGAATTTCCTCTTTTGTTGTATGCCTGAAGAAAGAACTGTCTAGAATCAAGGAACCCTAAAAAAAAAAAAAGCCATGTACATTGTAACTTACTCATAGCCTGTGCTTTGTTCATGCTGTATGCAGTAATCTGGGCTATCCGTCTCATGACCCGCGATTCTGCCAGCTGAAAAAAAAGGGCAAAAATCTGTTTTAACCAAACTTGGCTAGTACGTTGAAACAAGTTATGTAAATATTGATTTTTCATGTACACATGCAGTTTCGGAATACATGTATGTCAAAAATATTTAGGCTTTCTTGGAGGAGTAGAGTAAAAAGTGATATTTTCCTGCACGACTTTTCAACATAGATTTGATGAACAATTTTCCATTCAATTTGGACTCACCTTCTCAATGAGCTGTTCATTGTTTGCGAGATATCTGAAAATAAAAGAAAAAGTTTTTTTTTAAGAATCTAGAAATGGTTATAGGCCTAATTGTAAAATATGTCAAGAATTTACTAAACTCAATTACGAAATAATGGAAAAGGAATTGAAACATACCTTAGTAGGAATCGAAGAGGCATGTTGCACTTTCAGCAAGGAGATCACTTGAGTTTTGATGACGTCATTCAGATAAGCTGGGGAAAACAATGTAAACATTAACAGTTAAAATACATAGTGGCTATCGTTACGACAGCGTAACATGATGGCTTTGGAGGATTAAGTCCGAGAACCATTCACTTGTTTCTGGTTCCAAGATCCAAAGATCCTGACGTTGGTGTAATACTTGTAATTAGGTCCAAGTGAACCAGACGGTCGACTGCCATAACAAAAGCCACTGCGTTAAAAAAAAGATAGTGGATATTTTGCCGGAGGTAATGACGGCAAACTAACGATTACTAAAGGTTTGCTGGCGGCAATCCATATCAACAGAGGGCGCTGCACTCTTTAAAATAGGGCTGAATTATAAGATGTATTAAATTCCCACCAAAAGTTGTGTAGCACGTTTGGTGTAATGGTTAAGCAAAGGCTCTAGTAAGCGGGATGACTCGCGTTCGATTCCGACTGCACCACATTTTTAAGTTTTTTTTTCTCATCCCCAAATAAATAAGAATATTCTTCTTTTATTATTTTAACAGGTCTCAAACAATTTTTGCAGAGTATTACATTTTCTTTTTCAGATTTGTGGCTCTGGAGGATTTTTTTTTAAAGGGAAATAAAGTCCGAAATTATAAAATGGTCTGAATCCCATCCTGTGAATACGAGGTAACAACGATAATTTTGGCATGGAGCCAGACTAAAACTTTTCACCGGAAAATGTTTAAGTACAAAAAAACAGTAACTGCGCATGTTCAGTGCATATCCGGCAAACTAACGTTTACTAAAGGTTTGCCGTCTCCGGCAAAATATACACTGCCTAAAAAAACCCCAACACTTTTATAGCTGTACATGTTCTACCATTTCTCCATGGTTCTACGGTACATATCAATATTGTTTCACAACTCCCATTAGCCCCACTATATAGTGTGGCCGCGATATTGCTGCGCTGTACAGCGCAGTAATAATATCGCGGCCATGTTGTGCCCATTCTTGAAAATCACGCATTCTCGAGAATGGGCATGCACATTCTTGAGAATGTGCAACTGGATCCTTGCTCAATCTTGGCAAAAAATAACTCTTCCAGATTGAGCGCACATTCTCGAGAATGCGCGACAAGATAACGGTCTTGTTGATGCCGAGCACCGGCTGCGCTTGGCAAGTCTAGCTGAATCCTCGTTCACTGATTCTCAATAATTATACTGTTGCAACGCAAGGCGCTGAAAAGTAGAGTGGATATGATAAGTAAAGGCGTATTAATATGGGGGGGGGGGGGGGACCGGGAAAATATAAGAGACATAATAATACTAGTGCAAAGAATTCTGATTTTTGGGATAATAAAAGCGGGGGGGGGGGGGGGGGGGGGGGGGGGGACGTAAGAATGAAGAATGTGAAGAATGAGAATGAATACTGCGACATCCCATAGTGCTAATGCTATTTCCCATTTAAATTGCCACCAATTTATTGTTCACATCCCACCATAACGTCGCAGAGCTGGATTCTATCTAGTCAAAAGAGCAATTTTGGCAGCTTCTGGACATCGTTTTTTTTTCGTGGCACGCATATGATACATG